TTAAAATGAGATGTTTATCATGTATTTGATTATGTTTATATGGAGTTAGTTACACAAATTAAGATATGGAGCTTTAATAAGTTGTACTTACGCACAATCTACTTGCAATCTTAAGTTTTAAGTAATATGTTTTAATAAACAGTACTTTGTGCATAAAAAGTGGTTTTTAAGAGTTTTTATCAAATATTTTATAATATAGTATAGATAATGAGCAAATTAGAGTGTTTAGTTCATTTGGTTTGTTGAAATTTGCTTTTTTAAGGTGTTTGGGATTGTTTATAAAAACAACTTATTGATTTACTCTAATGTGGTACCGATAATAAGCATTTTTTAGTGTTTGAATAAACAACTTATACCGGTACCTTCGGTAATAAAATTTTTTTAAAGAAGTTAAACTCTTCTGACTTGTAATAAGTTGATAAATGTTTTTGTAGAAAAGCATAATCAAGTAAGTAAATCCCAAACACCCCCTTAGTCCTTCTGTTGTCTCATTTGTGACCATGCGTTGAACGAATAAACGAATGAAGTCAATTAAAGATCGTCAGGCTTTCGTCCATTACGAAAAATTCTCTGATAACACAGCCGAGACAGCGACGGTTCTCTGTCCCTGCGGGGATTGAGCGACAAAGGTTTTAAACCCCTTAGATATGATGCAAAATGGATCTTGTTCTATCTAATTGACCACCCTTTCCAAGTGTGATTTATATGTCCTCAGTTGGGATTGCAGGCTGCACTCGCTTGCATGAAGCCACACAAGCGGTGGAGTATATGGTTTAATTCGATGCAAAGCGGAAAAACTCTTTTCGAATCATTATGGAATCAAATTATAATTCTTATTTTGATTTTTATAATTAATTATTATTTCCATATTTTATATTTAAAGCATTTTTAGACCAATAAAACACAAATTTTGCAAGGATTTTGATTACAGTGGTATTGCAAATAGAGGTTTTTTTTGGTCGGTGGATAATTTCACCCACTAGACATGAAGCACGACAAATATTTAAAATTATTTTTATTTTTTTTAAATTTGTGAAAGTATTATTATTTTATTTAAAATATATTATTTTAATAATATATATTGTGTTTTTTTTTTGTGTGTGTGTTAAATGGGAACACCAAATTTAGTGTTTTTCTAGTGTAAGGTTGGATATAGTCTTAAAAGATAAAACCAAGGTTTCAGATGGCATGAGGCGTGGCGTTGCGTGACGACAAGGTCAAGCCTCAAGCCTTGGAACCTACAGCGAAGTCAGAGCGTTTTTCAAAATGTGACTTATTACGGCAAATCTATATTTCATATATAATATTATATACATAAATATATTTTTTATATGATTGCTCAATAAATCAATGATAAATAAACAGTTTAAATTATATTATATATTAAAAACTAACAAATAAGACATTAAAATGATATGTAAAATCAAATATCGTGTTACAAAAATCACACATATTTGTAAGTCAATATTTATTTTGACTAAATAAATATTAAGTTAGATTAAAAATCGTACTTAACTCTAATTATTTTTTAAAATTTTACAATATTAACTATGTTATTAAAATATTTAATATCTTAAAATGTTTAAAAAAAATTGTAATTTCCATCTAATTTTTAAATAAACTTTATATAAAATAGTAATGTCAACAACGTGGTAAGCGATAAGTAAGCATTAACCATGATAAAAGTCTACAAAAACGACATCGTATGTAACAATTTACTCGGTAAGCGCTAACCGTGGTAAGAGTCTTCACCATCACTTACCGGGTAAGACTTTCGGCTCATGCCTTCGCTCTTACCAAGTAAGATTCTTGATCTTTGCCATATTAATCTGTGAGATAATTTGACTTGGTAAATGATTATCAAAGTAAACTTTTGGTAAACAACCCGTTAATATATCTCATTGTATTAAAAAATAGTTTTTTAATCATTTAAAGTTAATCTACATTTACCATATTTAATGTAACGTTTGCCATTATATTACCAACTTTCACATCTAATAATATAAATTTATAACATGACTAAGGGGTTGTTTACTTACGGCTTAATTAGACTTATTGGTCTATCTGGCTTATTCGCACAACTCATTTAGGTTGTTTATTTACGGCTTATTCGCACAGAACATGACTTAATCGCACAAATCGAAATGGTGTGTTGTCCTTATTCAACCACAAAATGACACTCCTACCCCCTATTTAAAACACCGCCTCCTTCCCATACGAGACACCCCATCTTCGGCCTCTTTAAGATTTTTTGTTTTGATGTTCAAATAATTAATATTGGGGGGTAAATGGTCTTTTATGTTATTCAGACTGTTGGTTCAGATAAAAAAAAGTAAACAATAAAACTCATTTATTCAAACAAACAAATTTATTCATACAAGACTTAATAATTTTTTTTTTGGTAAACAACCCCTAAAATTTGTCTCATCGTCTAACTTTACATATCTTGAAATTGTAAATTTGAACAAAAAAATAATAATAAAGATCGCACATATAATATATATGCTAATATAACTTTAATTTAATACATAATTATATGTATCTATAAACTTCAATTTTTAGTCCTAAGCGATAAGTATATTGAACAACGTGTCATCTTATTATAATAAGTATCAACAAAAATTATTATAAATGTGAATTTTTATTTATGAAGGTATTTTATAATAATTTTGATATAAAAAAGCAAATTATAACAATAGTTATATAATATAACTTAAATTAATAATAATAATAATAATAATAATAATAATAAAATATAATTTAATGATTGGGTTTGATACTTTAATGGAAATTAAATCAATATTCAAATCCCTATGCATTCAACATCCCTATTAAGGAGTGCCATTAGCACTCCCCAAAAAATAATATCAACCAAAACCCCAAAAAAAAAAAAAATTAGAAAAGCATATCCTACATAAACGAAGGGGGTGTTAATGACACCCCTTTAGTAGGGGTGTGATTTTCTTCAAATTTGAACCACTCAATTTTTTTTTCATAAACATCACATCAATAATCATTTTATTAATTTTATTTTATTTTATATATTTACAATATTACAAAATATATATTATTTTATTATTTACAAATTACTTCATATCTATACTACATATATAACCATTTAAGACAAAGTCTTAAATACAAGTTACTAAGCATAAGTTACAATGGTTTTATGCAACAAATTCAAAAAACTCTTAATTACAAACTATTATGCATAATGTACAAGTTGTTTATGCAATGTTTCTACAACACCAAAACTTACCCATTT